CCGAATGGCGAAAAGGCAGCATAAATTTACTGCCAGCCACTGCAGCAAAAGTTGTTCCTTTTGTTGCTTTTGGGACACACGCAGGCAGCAGCATCAGGTGCAGCAGCAACAACAATAGCAATAACAAGGACATCGAGGAGACAAAAAGAAAGCAGCGCAAGATGCATTTAATTAAACTTAAACATTTTCATTGTCAAGCGAAAAATAATTAGTTGTGTGGCAAAGAGAAGGAAACAGGCAGCGGAACATTTGGCGTATACGTAACGTGCACCGGAAGTAATATGGATCGCACACACAGAAGCAGACAGGGCCTCGTAGGGCCTTCCATGTGTTCGCATGTGTGTGTGTGCGAGGAAAGCCGGCAAGTACAAGTTTCAAAATTAAAATGAATGCACGGAGCTGAAAGAAGGATACAAGACTTTTGCACCAGCAGACATTTACAAGCGCCATCGCACACACATCACACACACACATACACAGTCGCGCTGCGAAGGATGCCAATACATGTGCACGGCGGATGGCAGTTATAAACGACAAAGTCACATGCATGAGCCTGTCAAAAAACCTAGTTAGTCCTCCTGGCAGCGACAGGAGCCGAAGGAGACTGCCAAGCGAAAAACAGGCGAAAAAAGTATCCGAGATTGTTGTTCTTGTCGAAATAATGTGCAGCATTAACTAACTGCGCCTGCAAGCGACACTGCGACTTCGAAACAACGACAACGACAACGACGGCACGGATACCAAGGACATCGCGGCAGGACGGCTGGCAAGCTCAGCTCTCAAGTTTACCCAGGATCGTGGCCAGGGGCTGCTGCAACATTATATATTTAGTTAAGGTATTAGCAGCAGCGACATCAATGACATCCGAGCACACTGGTTAACCAAACTGGGATCTTAGGACCGCAGAGTCCTTTCTCCTCACTCGATTGGCTCGCATCTTTAAGCCTTTAAGTTGTAATAGAAAAATTTGACAATGTCTTAATTTCTCTTTCTCTTATTTCCCGTCTTATATAATTGTACTATTTATTATTGATTTTTAATTATATTATAACGTTTCACTTATATCTGAATATCTAATTTAATCGATTAGAAATTAAATTCCGAGTCCTCATTAGAATTTTCTAGTGAGGGTTCTATGCAGTGTAGTGTAACTGAAGAGCCCACCAAGTTTTTGCTGCGCCACGCTTGCATGGATTAATTAAATTAGGGCCGTGTCGAGCAGCCTTTTCCCCGTCTAACCCTTGGCCCGGCCATCGATGTGTCGCTCAGATTTTCTTGACGCGCTTTTCCAGCAGCAACGCAACGATGGACGGTAATCGATAGACCTGGCACAACAACCATTCCCTTCCCTGCGGACGCGCTGCGTGGCCAGCTAATAAATTAAGGCTAATTATGTTTTCAATTAGGCAACAATAGCCAATTTAATATTTTACCCAGCCGCCGTTCGTCGTCGTCGTTGTTCCGCTCGCCCCTGATTGATGTGCGTCGCAATTTTTCGCGCGATTTGCAATTGCAAAAACCCAGCCGTGGCTGGCGCATTGGAGAGAGGAAAGTGCTGCGCTTCTAATGGCAAATGCCTGTACAGCTTTCCCATTTTCAGCCTATCTTTTTGCTGCTCTATCGGTCTTCGCTCGCCGACCTTTTGGGAGGCGAATTTAATGGAAATTCTCGACATAGCCGGGGCATCAAATCAATATGTCATGAGAAGGGCTGCGCCTCCATGGCCCGTGATGCTGCGGCAACGGAAACAGTATCATGCTGATGTGTTGACGGTGTTTTCCCGGTCGCTTTCAGTGTATGTGTGCGTGTAACAGAATAACGCGTTATTGCGTATACGCAACGTTGGCCCCAGTGCAAATGAGCAAATGTATAGGGCTGCAATGACGCCCTAATGAGCTCCTCTAAAGCTGAAATTAAGGTTCTGTAGTTTGCAGAAGCCGTGAAATAACAATAAATTCGCTTATTAAATCAATTATTATACAATTTCAACCATAATTGTGAATCTGAGTTAAGAATTTCAACAATTAAAATTAAAATAATAATTTTTAAGTCTTTTTAATTAAGTTAGATATAGTAGATCACTCCCGTATGGGGCTTAAGTTATTGCAGGGCATTGCCAACTGCAATAGCCTCTATTGTAGATGGTCCAAAAATGTCAAATGGCAAGAAGAGAGATGGCAATGGAGGACGGAACAAAAAATGGTTAAAAAATTTGCCTCAGTCGCTGCATGTGAGCCTAAATCGTTGATTTACGATTCACGCCACACTGAGGAGCCGCTGAATCAGTACACCGACACTGCATGTGTGTCTGTGTGCCTGCCTCCAGGCTACAGGCTGTGCGTGTGTGTGTGAGTGTGCGAAGGGAGGGCCTGGGTGTGTGCGCGCGAATGTGTCTGTGGTGAGGACACGCATGACAGACACGCAGGCACCCGTGCAAACCACTTTGGCGGCAATGCGTTGGCTTGTCCTGCCAGCTTGCCCGCATTTTTGCAGCAGCGCATAATAAAAAATTTTAAAATTTATTACATGTCTCCAGCCAATATTTCACTTTGACATGCAGTGTCGCGAAATGAAGCTGTCCGGCTGGAGCCGCGGCCAGTTGGCCAACCAGCTTGTCCCGGAACTCGCACTCATCTGGAGTAAATTTGCTTGCAATGAAGTGAGGAGCTTCCCTGCTGCTCGGTCCCGGCTGCCAATTAAAATTACCAGTTTCAGAGTGCCAGTACAAGTCCCAGTATCGAACCGTATGCAATCAATATTTCCGGTCGCTTCTTTTAATTAATTCCATGCGTTCGGAATGGAAAATGCAGAACTCCTTTCGCTTCTTTGCCCTGCCTGTCGTCTGTTGATGCCAACAGCTCGTATTAGCCCGTCTGGGCCGAAAGGCGTCAGTCTTGGTAGATGTGTTCACTGGAATTTTATGCGTGCGCAAATGAAAAGGAAATGTTATCGTTTAATTTTATTTTCGCCAACGGCGTCGCTGCATAATAACTGCGAGCGCGTACAGGGCAAAGGAGCTGTCATTGCACTCTAAGAAATTATTGAAATGCCTATAGCTCTTGAAAGGTAAAAACAAGACAAAAAAATAGTTTGTTTTTAATTTTTAAAAAATTTAAGGGGAATTTCTTTACAAGGGCGTATCTGCTTTGGGCAATTTAAGCTACAATTTCTGGTTTCCTCCCGTAGTTAGTTACCTTTTTTGTTATATCTACGCAGGCTATTACAGTTTTGGTCAAAAGCTTAAAAGGCAATAAAGAAATAATGTTTAAAATTTAAAATTTAGTATGCAGATTTGTAAACATAATAATAACAAATATACAACTGCTTTCCAAAGTGAAAAATTTCCCGAAAAAGTACCACAATATTTCCAAGTGTGGAAACATAAGTGGAACCGAACGAGGGCAACGCTCCGCTCCGCTTCGTTGCCAACTGCTGGCTGCTTGGCAGGCTCGGAACGCACATAAGTAGGTCCTGGCCAGCGCAAAAATGGCATCGCGTCCAAACATAATTAAAGACAAACAACAGCTCCCCATGCCGCCTCTCATCTCGTCTCCACTGCCATGTTGCTGTTTCTGCCGGTGGAGCCACGATAAACGCATGAAGACAAATAAAGGCATTGGACGGATCGGAACCCATATAGAGCTCACACATGTATCCCGTATACGTACTGGGGAGCTCCATGCCGCACGCCACACTGCAATGCCAACATCCTTGGAAGCCAGCCACAGGGGGCAGCCGTATCCTGCTGCACCTCCAACACACTCACCACCAAAATATATGGTAAAATAAAAACTTAAAAACGAAAAATGGTAGCCCAAAGTGTTGTGGCATATTTTTATGTAATTAATTTGCAGACAGACGAAGGTAGCGGTAGGGTCTTGGATATGATTTCCCATTTGTTCAGCAGTGGAAAGTTTTCTAATTATTTTTATTTATAAGAAAAATATTTTTAAGAATATACATTTTTATTTAAATGAATTGAAATATGTAAGTCTTATAAATTAATAAATTTTTTTTTACTATCTATTGTAAAGTTAGACTTTCCCTTTCTGACTTTTATTGATTATTTCAAAATGTTTAAGCTATAAAGTTAAAAATACATACATATTTCTTTGGTTTTTTTATATTTAATTATCCCTTACGAGGCAGAAAAATGGTTCAATAGGGGAAAACCTCCGCGGAAAGCCAGGGGTTTTTTCATGGTGGCAGTGACCTCGGCCCCCACTTCACCCCACCTTTGACAGCATTGTGAACGTGTGACGATGTTGCTCCCTCGTCCCTGAATCTACAATTTTTTTTCACATTGGACCAGCAGGGGCAGCAATTTTGTACATCATTTTACTTTCATTATGGCTTAACCTTGCAGTTTGATAGTCCCTGCAACACCCGCCCGCGCACTTTGCCCCTCAGCCCACTCCCATTAACGGCACTTGAGTGTGTGTGAGTGCGGCAAAGGAAAACATTGCGTGGGAAACTGGGCTGAGGAAAACAGGCAGAAGCACAGGCACTGGGACCGGTAGCCCCACTGTGGACTTCCGCTCGCTCGGGCAGCAAAACGAGCAGAAGTTGTTGTTCAATTTTCCATTTTTAGTTGCCAGCCGTTGCCAAGGAAGGGGAAAGGCGGGTGGGCAGGGAAAAGCGGAACGCCGGGGAAAAAAACGAAGTGCTGAGAACCCACCGCCATGTAAGATAATGGCAAACATGAGGAGAATGAGCTGCCGTGTGCGTGTGGGGTGTGCTTCTGGGATGTGTGTATGTGCTGAAAGCCATGCAAAAACTGTAAACAAACAGAATGCGGCTAAACACAAACACCTTTGAGAGATGCACACATACACAACACACCCAGCCGCACAGGCTCAATGCAGAGGTGCTCTGGCGAGTGTGTGAGTGAGTGTATTTATAAAAGTCAGGCGCAGGTATAAGTGCACTGAGCAAAAATAAAAGATAGCATTCAGTGTCACCTACAAATTTGTTTAGCTAAATTTCAAACGCAGTAGTCAGTGAAAACTTAGCTGCGAACGAGCAAGTTTTCCTTATATTCAGATCTTCTTCGAGCCGAAAACATTGTAAATATATTTTAACAAATATTTTACTAAAAGTATTACACTTATAGAAGATGTCCGAAGCCAACAGTGTTGATTATATCGATCAGCTCATTAGCTGCAACAACAGATCTCCCGAGCTGGCAGTTCCCAGAATAACACCCATCAAGGATGTGCGCGAGTTCATGTCCAACTCTGAGAACTTCAATGGCGACATCGAGGACCTCAAGGAGCAACTAGATGCCAAAACCCAACAGTGCCAGGGACTACTCAAAATCTTGAATGAAAAGCTGCGGTTAAAGTTGTTAACCCTAGACAAGGTAAAGACGGATATGTTGGCCCTTGCAGATGATATGAAGAAGCCAACAGCGTCCGCTCGATTTGTGACTAACCACGAAAAGATCAAACTTAATTACTTGGACGAGTCCGAGGGTAAGGAATGTGAAATGGCCGAAGCCCTGGAGTGGTTTAATCTGAAGATGGGTTCGCTGTACTGCGAGATCGTGGGCCTGGAGAGCGATGTGGACTACATTACCTATCTGGAACGCATGTCCCAACTAAACATGAGGTCTGTGGTTGAGTTTTACGAAAGCGAGAACACGGAAGAGCCTGAAAAATTAATTGTTTAGTTTACTGTAGAGATTTTTCGTTTTGAATTCCAGTTGAAAAGTACGGAAAATATATATGTTGCCTAGTGAATGAAGCCTTTTAACGCAAAATCATTGCAATACATATTTATATAGCTTTCCTTCAGAGGTTTCCTCATTGACCAATAGAGTAGAGACTAGTAGAGTTAGTCTCTATTTAGATCTTTATAAATAAGGGAACATTTTTTTCTGTGTACATCACCTTACACACTTACTCTCTGGCAAAACACTTGGCGCGCCCCCAATACACAACCCGAACTAGTTTCTGTTGTTCACCATCTGCCACGGCCCCCGAACGTTCAAAGTAAAAAATATCCTTCCCTTCGTCACCCTGCGGACCCCTTCGAACTCTTTACCGCCTAGCAGTGGAATTGTGCCAGAAAAAACATAATTAATATGCAATTTTTTGTGTTTTTTTTCCCAGCTTTTACATTTCTTTTGCAAACATTTTACTCATGCTCTGTTTTATAGTTGGAAATTCCAAAGGATCGCCCCACCACAGCCTTTTCTTTGATGTGCTGCGGTGTTGGTGTTGCTGGTGTGTGTGTGTTCTGTTTGTGTTTAAATTTATGGTACAATGCATTCAGCATTGCTCAAACACGCTTAAAAAGTTCGAGGGTTTTGGTTTGATTTTCAATCAATTCCTGGCATAACTTGAGACAGAAATAAGCAGGAAGAAAAATATAGAAGGATAAAGAGATTGAGTCCAGCGGCAAACACTAAGCCGTAACCCAATAACAAGGCAAAGCTTTTTTATACCCTTGCAGGGTATTATAATTTCAGTCAGAAGTTTGCAACGCAGTGAAGCATCAACAGCCGAGTCGATCTAGCCATGTCCGTCTGTCTGTCCGTCTGTCTGTCCGTCTGTCTGTCTGTCTGTTTCTACGCAAACTTGTCCCTCAGTTTTAAAGCTATCTGAATGAAACTTTGCATATAGTCTTCTATATACTCTCACTGCTATATATGTCGGAACAGGCCGGATCGGACGACTATATCATATAGCTGCTATACAAATGTTCGATAAATTTTTAGAAAAAAAATTATAACTTGGCTGTTTTTCAATATTTTTGTATCATTTTTGAGATATAGCCATTTTATATTATTCCAGCTCATTACGCATAGGAATCATTTCCGACCCCATAAACCATATATATTCTTGATCAGCATTAACAGGCGCATCTTTCTGGCCATGTCCGGAGAAAAAAAAATTTTTATCAATTTTTTAAAAATTTTATAAGGGGTTACATCATTAAAATTCTCAAAATTTGATAAAATTTTCAATTTCTAACTAAGTATGCAGATTTGTTAACCTTATAAAAACTAACATAACACCGCTTTCCGAATGCAAATTAAGGCATTTTTGACAGAGTTATGACTTTTTTAGTTTTTAATTTTCTGTTTTTCTCATTTCAATTACAGACTTTCCATCACCATTGCCATCGCCATCGCTCCTAGTCATCAGTATCAATAGACCTGACACCCACCCCGGACAAGAACCAAGGGAAAGGACCAACGACACACGCATAAGGATGGTGGATAAGGGATGGGAATGGAGGAACAGGGATCAGGAATCAGGGATAAGGAAAGAGCACCGTCAGTCAGGTCTGCCGGCTACTTTTACAACAACAGCAACGAACACAACAAGCAACATTTTAATTTTAAAATACTTTATTTTATTCTTTGTTAATGAACCTAAATAAAAACAATGAAATACATTATTTTATATTATTTTGTTTTATTTTATTTTTCCTATATAAGAACAATGAAATGAGCATCACTGGCAGTTAGTGAGATGCCTATAATTTATAAAAAACCCTCATAAGTGTATTTTAATTATTTTTTTAGTTTTATTGCCGCTTTAAAAGGCGTTTTCCTAATTTTTCTTTTATTTTCCTGGTTCAAATAAAAAAGTAAAAAAATTGCATACTTTTAGGCATTTTTAAATATTATTTGGTAATTTTTGCAGTATCTTTTGGGCTGCATTTTTAAGTCTTTGATAAAAAAAAAAATAAAGTAAGGTATACTTTTGGGCGGGGATGAATGCAGGTCCACGTATTTTTCTTTTATTTTTCTGGTTTAAATCAAAAAGATAAAAAAATTGCCCACTTTTAGGCATTTGAAAATATAAGTTGGTCATTTTTGTGGCATCTTTTGCGCTGAATTTGTAAGCCTTTGATTAAAATATAAAGTAAGGCATACTTTTGGGCGGGGATGAATGCAACTCCACTTTTACAGTTTGACAAGCACTGGTCCAAGTGAGATTCTGAACTTCCGCCTAAAAGATGCCACGTTTTTAATAGATATCCCCAAAAGTATGCATTAATTTTTAAGTATTCTTTAAAAATTAATTTAATTTTGCGTTTTTGGCCGAGTTAACGCATGAAATTCAATTAGGAAAGCTGTTCTGAGTTGCCCTTTCTAAGCTTAACAAAACTGCATACTAAGTTTTGCTAAAATACTTACCTATAAAGATGTGAACCACACAACTCGGCCAAAAATTCATGAAAATCATCCGAATTGAATTTCATGCGTTTTTGGCCGAGTTATGAGCTATATAGCAAAATAGCTAGATGAGCAACACTGTCATTATGCCCGATTTTATTGCCCCCACCAATATGGCAATATAGCTAGATGAGCATCACTGATGCTAATGGGCATCACTGATGCTAATGGGCATCACTGATGCAAGTGAGCAAAATTCTTCATACAATTTGGCCGCTTTCCAAACTGGGGTAACAGGCGAACAGAAACCAGCAGCAAGCAACTGAAAGCTGGTATAAACTGTTATAAAAACTTTTGGGCAAAAATAATAATTGGTATAAACTGTTATATTTCATTTTATGCATTTATACCTATTTGTTGCCGACAACAACAGCTTGATGGCAACAACAACCCCTTTATAACAACATCCCTGCAGCAGCCCATACAAATTTCTGAAATTTTCCATGCAAATTGCCCGTTTCCCAAATTGGGGTAACAGGCGAACAGAAACCATCAGCAAGCAACTGAAAACTGGTATAAACTGTTATAAAAAGTCCAAGTTTCGAACCATTGATCTTGGAGTAAGCGAAGACTCAAACCAGATGTGACCATATTGTAAATTTTTTGGCTAAAATGTTGCTTAAATGCACCTGGGCACACTGAAACTGACTTTGCATCAGTGATGCTCATCTATCTATTTTGTCCCAATAAAGAAATATAGATAGATGAGCATCACTGCCATTAAGCCTGATACATTGCCTCCCAATATTGCAAAATAGCTACATGAGCATCACTGATGCAAAGTCTGATTTTATAGCCTCCCAATATTGCGATATAGCCAGATGAGCATCACTGCCATTAAGCCCGATTTTATAGCCTCCCAATATTGCAATATAGCTAGATGAGCATCACTGATGCAGATGAGCATCACTGATGGAAGTGAGCATCACTGATGGAAGTGAGCATCACTGATGGAAGTGAGCATCACTGATGGAAGTGAGCATCACTGATGGAAGTGAGCATCACTGATGGAAGTGAGCATCACTGATGCAGATGAGCATCACTGATGGAAGTGAGCATCACTGATGGAAGTGAGCATCACTGATGGAAGTGAGCAAAACTTTTCATTCAAATTGGCCGCTTTCCAAACTGAGGTAACAGGCGAACAGAAACCAGCAGCAAGCAACTGAAAACTGGTATAAACTGTTATAAAAACATTTGGGCAAAAATAATAATTGGTATAAACTGTTATATTTCATTTTATGCATTTATACCTATTTGTTGCCGACAACAACAGCTTATGGCAACAACAACCTTTTAACAACAACATCCCTACAACAGCCCATCCAAATTTCCGAACATTTCCATGCAAATTGCACGTTTCCCAAATTGGGGTACCAGGCGAACAGAAATCAGCAGCAAGCGACTGTAAACTGGTATAAAGTGTTATAAAAAGTCCAAGTTTCGAACCATTTAAGAGCCTGCGCACGTAAGCGGAGACTCAAACCTTTTGAATCCAAATTTAGGTGTTATTTTACAACTGCACCTGGGCACACTGAAACTGATCGTCGTTAAATTCAAATTCAAATTTGGCAGTTAAATTCAAATTCAAATTTGGCAGTTAAATTCAAATTCAAATTTGGCAGTTAAAATATTTAAAAAAAATTTAAAAATTAAAAAAAAAATTTTTTTATCTAAAAAAAAGTTAAAATATTAGAAAAAAATTTTACAAATTCAGGAAAACTTTTAGAAATTTAGAAACAACATTTAAAAATTCAGAAAATGATCTTAAAAATTTAAAAAAAATTACATTTGGCTTTCAACAGATTTTTCCCCAAACAATCCCAAGGCCCCCAAATAAATGCCGCTTAAACCACACAATTTCACATTGATTTCCCTTTTTTTATTGATTCAAATTTGTTTGTACCATCAATTACATTTACACATTTAAAATGTAGTTATAAATATTCCAATACCTTACGCCTGCTGGGCTTCAGCTAGCCCGGAGCCAAGATCCGACCACTGCCATTCGCTTGAGCTCCGCCATCCCAGCTGCTTGCTCCTCCAGCTTCACCACTGCCGATCCGATGATCATCAATCAACAATTACAATGATGACTAGGATGAACTTGTGCTTCGCGGATCGCTGTGTCGTTGGTCCTTACCCTTGGTTTTTGGCTGGGGTGGGTGGTACTGATGAGCGATGGCGATGGCAATGACGATGAAAAGTCTGTAATTGAAATGAGAAAAACAGAAAATTATAAACTAAAAAAGCCATAACTCTGTCAAAAATGCCTTAATTTGCATTCGGAAACCGGTGTTATATTAGTTTCTATAAGGTTAACAAATCTGCATACTTAGTTAAAAATTCAAAATTTTATCAAATTTTGAGAATTTTAATGATGTAACCCCTTATAAAACTTTGAAAAAATTGATAAAAAATTTTTTTTTGCCGGACATGGCCAGAAAGATGCGCCTGTTAATGCTGATCAATAATATATATGGTTTATGGGGTCGGAAATGACTCCTTCTATGCGTAATGAGCTTCGGACTGGAAATAAAATACCCTGCAGGGGTATAAGGATACTAGGACTTGTGTGGTTCACATGTTTATAGGTAAGTATAAACTGAGTATGCAGTTTTGTTAAGCTTAGAAAGGGCAACTCAGATTTATAATACAAATATCAAAACCAATCTGCAAGGGTATACAAACTTCGGTGTGCCGAAGTTAGTTTCCTTTCTTGTTTCCAATTGCGTTTGCGTTTGACTCTACTTATAAACAAGATTCACTACTCACTGGATGGCTTTGCTTTTTAAATACTTGTTATTAATACAGCTCCTAATTGCTTAAACTTTTTACTGAATTGAAAACATTTTTGTGAATCGTTAGCATTGTAAATCAATCAATTTCTCAGACCATTGCCAACGGATGTTATGAAAACGCGTTCTTTGTGCCCAGCGGCATTGTTCGCGGCAAACAGAAAAATCGCTGCATTCGCCAAGGCGCCGAACGCAAATTAAAGGCAAACATAAAGCGCTTTGTATGGACGGAAGACCCGAATGTTGGTGCTACGAAGGCTGGCTGCATAAGCGCTGCAAACATACAGGAAACCGAGTCAACAAGAGGCTGATGCTGCCGTGGCAACAGCAACGTTGCAGCAGCAGCAGCAGCAGCAGCAACATGAACAAACATTGGCGGTTGCACGTGTGGTCACGGAAGGATCCCAATACCAATACCAATACCAACACGAACACCACTACCAATGCCAATTGCAGGACAACGCTGGGAAGAAGGAGATGCGCAAATAAAGCTGCGAACGCGAACGTCAGCAACAACAATTGCTGACTGACCTTTGCACGATGGCTGATTTTCCACGCAACACAACGTCAGTGCACTGGCAGTTGGGAAACAACAATAACCATAATTTATATTCTTTATTGATAGAACCATAAATAAATGGCGGCAGATAGAAGTTCAAATTCCGAATGCCATATGCACAAAACTCTCGACTGCGTTCGTCGTACATAATCAAAAGATTAGAAACTGCTTTTGCAGCTGACTGCGGGCGAAGTGACCAGGCCATAAAATGTGACCCACCAGCGGCGAAAGTGGAGCACTTGGACGGGCATCAAGAAAAATGCACCAGATCCCACATCCCATTGAGCCAGAGGCAGCTCGTGCTCCGGCTCCGTCTGCATCTGTGTCTGCCACAAACTGATGCAGCAATAAAATTTGAAACAATAAAAGACGTAGCCAAGAGAAGACGTTGCCCCAAAAGTTGCCGGAGCAGCAAGTGGAAATTGCCGAATGAAGACGCAAATGGCAGTGGAGCTGAAGATGAGCCAAGCAGCCAGGATGCGACAGCATCTAAGTATTCAGCAAAAGGAGCAGCAGCAGGGTCCCTTAAAGCAGCAGATCCTGCATCCTGCTTTCCATGCTTTCTTGCCCAAGGACACTCACTGCAACAAAAAAACCTTATTAATTTTCTTATGAACATCCATGCAATCTCCAAAGCATACAAGTAAGTAATTAGATTGTTTAGCGTATACATATTTTTATTAGTTGTTTATTAAGCCAACTATAAAATATTTTAATGGCTCTTTATAACAAATTTTTTGCGTGCTTAGAAAGTATTACCA